AGTGTTATACAATAAGTATCAATTATTATCATATTATGTTGTATGTTACTTGGATAAATATTTTTAGCCTTTAAAATTAATACAGTTAGTGCAAAAAAGAAAGTCTTTTCATATAATGCGTACACATATACTATACATTTATATGTAGTTTTGCTTCAGTTAAATTTCGGAATAAATTTCATGTAGGTGTACTGGGTGCACTATAAGGCATTTTGCCTTAGGAAAAAACAAAAATGAAATTTTCATCTGCTAATTTCGGAAATTAAGCATAATATTAATATAATGCAAATTACAATAATTTGATATTTCAGCTTAATAAATTTATTTATTTTTCCGGCATCTTTCCGGATTATACTCATCAAATCTGGCAATACGGATCAAAATTCGAAGCAAATTATGTTCTATACGATGTTCACAGCAGTTGCTAGACAGTTAGAACTGGGCAATTAGAACATCAGTTGTATCAAAATATTCTGTTCAAATTTAATTTCAAATATCAATATGTTTTTTGATGTAAATTTATTAACAAAAAGTGGGAAATTTGGAACAATATGGCTTTTAGCGACGAAAAAAAATAGCTTGCAAGATAGATCCTTTAAAATTTATAAAGTGGACAAATTAAACATATTGAGAAATTGGTAATCATTGGTAATCATCGATGTACAATTATAATTGAATACAAACTAGTTTATATTGTGCTTTTTATTTTAGTGAACAACTATTATCGTATATAATGAATAATTCCGCTTCTGTTCAAAACAGATTGTCTCTTAGATTGAGCGCAATTCTAATAAATGGTCTGGTAAAAGCTTATAGCTTCCAATTAAATTCGTTATACGGTAAGATTTGTAAGAAACTACTATTATAAATGTATTTATATAATTAAGTTCCAAATGTGCTGCATTATACGAGTATTTTATTATTAATAATAAATAAATCACATAAACTTAAACACATAAACTAAATATCTAGGTATTAACCACGGTTAATTTTTTAGTTAATTGCCAATACTTATTTATTATCTATAGTGGAAATTCAAACATTTGTGTTCTACATAAGGTGTAGTTTATTGATATTATTTTCTTCTAGATGGATGCAGTTTGCTTGTTCATAGTGTCTATTTTCAATATAAAAGGTATATTTTTTTTATCTTTGTCTTCCATAATATATATATATATATATATATATATATATATATATATATAATGTAACCATCGAAACTTGGCTTATATTATACAAGACTATAAGAGTTTGAATTCCCTACTGGATTTTTCCTTTGTTTTTGAATTTATGCATGAGTATGAATGTAAACGATAATCGATAGATGAATTATTTCACTACAAAAATATTATTTATATATAATATAAATAATAAACCGCTTAGTATGTACTCCTTGTGTATTCCATTTAGTGTTTCGTTCTGATTACCGTTGACGTGCACACTTAAATAAAATACATTTAAAAGTAGTATAAAACTAATGTTGCCTAGCATCGTGTCTTGAGGCAAATTGCTTGAACTTTCATACCGTAAAATATTGTTTTTTGTTTAATTCTAGTATTTTCTTTTAACTTTAAATTTACAAAATAACAAAAATGCCATTTGGCGGTCAAAAATGATTATTAGACATATGCACATCAAATTATCAGATATATTAGAGATTTTAACGATAACTATATATTTTGTTTACATTCCTATGGGTTCCGTACCAAAGTTTATCCGTTAGACGGCGACGCGGCGATTACGCGCTTCAATGTTTCGTCTCTATGCAGTTAAAGCGGTACGATTGCTTTGAAAAAAAGTTCAGAATTTCCAAAATATTTCAAAATAATTTTTTCTTCAAAAAGTCTTCAAAAAAAGTGATTTTTTGTCAAAAATTTATAGTTTATCAAAAATCTAATTTTTTCAGAGTAAGTTTAAAAACGTTAATCGTTTAAAAAAAATCATTTTTGGTACGGGAAGTTCCAGCAATTTGCCTTAAGGCGCGATGTCATGCGCCCCACTAGTTTATATTCATTTTTTCCATTATAATGGTTTCCATTATTTCCATTATAATAAGAATACTTATTCTATTTCATGAAAAGTTATAATAGAACGAATAGAGACTTAAAATATTATTTACATTCAATTATCATTACAAAATTATTTATTTTTTTCATAATTTTATGATAAAAATTAAAAGTTATCTATAGGACTAATAAAAATTATTTTACATTGTATCTATATAATATTTTTGCAGGAAATTGAATACTGGTGTTAAATCAAAACCAAGTAAGTTAACTTTATATACATTTAAATTGCAATTACAGTTTTGTTTTAATTGGTGAAAATATGCACGATAGCATCAAGATACAAAAAAAACTGATACGGAGTTATGTTATTCGAATAACAATTAAGAAAGATATTTATCAAATTATAAGTAATACACTTTATCTTATTTTATAATTTTTGTTGTATATTTTTAGCTATGTTAGCTTTGTTTATTGGAAGAGTTACTACGCGG